AATCAAGACTCGATGCGTCGAGCCCATTCTGGACGCATCAAAAGTCCATTTTTTGGGCTAGTTTTGGTCTGTTTTGTGCGGAAATTTCCCACTTCCTCCGGGATTGGTTCCAGCTATGAATCCCACATTTCTCAACCCTAGAATTCATTCAGACTTTGTGCAAGACAAGAAAGAGAAGAATTGAGAGGTACGAGTTATCTTTTAGAGCAAGAAGAAAGCTAAGGAGATTTGGGAAAATCACTTGGTTCATTCTTGTCTTCATTTTGATTATTTGTAAACTCTTTATCATATTTTCTATGTATAATTTAGCCATGCTTGGCTAAATTCCCTTAGCGATTCTTGGGTAAAAAGTGTTTATGAACCTATGTGCCTGTTTATCAGATTCTTAAAATATTAATAGTTGGGTTTTATAATTCTGTTTCAATTGTGTTTTAATTTATTGATGCTAGTAGTTAACGGCCATAATTACTTGTTTCATAGCTATCTTTGTGTCATAACGGAAGTTAGGCATAATTTAGGGCACACACAATTGCACTTAATTGTTGCACCTTGGGAGATGGCAAATTGGTTGAGAAGTTTAATTCTTGATTATTGCACATCGGGAGATGGTAGTAGTTAGGGATTTTTTACGAATGCTTGATCGTATATTATTGGGTGTTTATATCACGGGGGTGAATATTCACTAGGGTTAGAGATTACGGGAGTAACTATATACCATCTTTGCATTCTCACACTAGTTTAAACCCAGATTTAATATTACATTTAAGTTTGGCACTAGGGGATTAAACACTTGAATCCCAAGAATCTCATTCTCTCTCTATTGATTTCACAAATCTGTCTCTTGCTTTCTGTTTATTATTTTAGTCAAGAATCCAAGATAATCATTAAGATTAGCTTCATAAGCATAACTTAGTAGCTAGTGCTTAATATGCACCACTTCCCTCTGGATCAATAGCTCGTTACTCAGAGTTTATTTGTTTGAAAATATACTACAATCAGGTGTGCATATATTCTATGTTGGTTGTGTGCATGGGTTTGGATGCATGTGCATTCTGGGTGGGTGTTTAATTTTTTTTTTTTTTTTTTTTTTTGTGCTAGTATTTCTCAAAACACGGTTTGTTTGTGCATGTATGTTCATTTGTGTGTGGATATCCTCTCTGTGTTGGTGGGTTGGGATTGTTAGATATTAGTGTTTGTTAGTATGCTTGCTCTATGCATTGTAGTTGTATTGTTTGTGCATTTTAGGCTGGCTGGTATTGAAGTGTGCAGTTATGTACATTTGTGGGTGCATATATTCTCTTTTTTGTTGTGCTCTTTTGGCAGGTTTAGAGTGTTTCTAGTATGATCTGTTGTGTGCATTGGGGTTGGGTTGTGTGTGTGCATGTATTCTTTGTGGTGGTGGGTTGGGGTTGCAGTTGGGAGTGTTGGCTAGTATATTTGTTGTGTTCATTGTTGTTGTATTGTTTGTGCATTATACGTTGGCTAGTATTGGTATATGCAGTTGTGCATATTTGTGTGTGCATATATTCACTATTTTGTTATGTTCTTATTCTCTGTTTTGTTGTGCATATATTCACATTTGTGTGTGCATATATCCTTTGTTCTCTTATGTATCTTGTGTATTCATTGCACCCCTAACGTTCTGTGCTGGTAAGGAGATTCGGGTTGTGCGTGAATACCAAACAATAAAATAGTACGAGGGAGAGAGAAGAGTTGAGTTTTTTTTTTCGGTTTGAAAAAAAAAAAAAAAAACTTTGTATAAGCGTGAGAGGTTGGTCACCTCCTCAAATCCATGATGTGCACACAACTCTTATTTCAAGTGCAAATACTTAACAACTAATGTGTACATGCCTATTCTCGTATTGATGCAAAGTCCAAACCTGGATTGATTTTTTTCCTCCTTTCCCCATGTTCTTATTTATTTATTTGCTTGGGTTTTGTGCTTAGGGTGCGTGGGTTCTATGCTTAAGGTGCGTGGGTTTTATGCTTAATGTGAGCCATTTTAAAATCTTAGGTGCGTGGTTTGTGTTCTTAAGGTGCTTTGTTCTGAGTTTAAGGTGCATGGTGATTTATGTGCTTAAGGTGCCCCATTTTAGTGCTTAAGGTGCGTCCAACCGCACAACCGCACGGGAAATCATTCCCGCACCTGACGTCCAACCGCATGGAAGGGTTCAGGTGCAGGTATAGCTTCTCGTGCAGTTGATGCACCTTAAGCATTAAAATGGCACACCTTAAATACACAAATCAGACACCTTAAGACACAAACAAAGAAGCTTAAGAACACAAACCACGCGCACCTAAAGCTTTAGGCCGACGCACCTTAAGTACACAAACCACGTACCTTAAGTACACAAACCACGCACCTAAGGTTTTAAAATGGCGCACAGTAAGTTTCAACAACTCATGCACCTTAAGCATGCAAATCACACAAGGAAAACCACACACCTTAAGGGTCAGGTTGACGCACCTTAAGTTTCAACAACTACTCACCTTAAGCACACAAATCACGCACCTCAAGCACAAAAACCACTCACCTTAAGCACAAAGATCACACACCTTAAGAAGGAAAATCACGCACCTTAAATCAAATTACCACCGCGTTTTTTTAAAAAAAGAATTGTTAATCCCGAACGTTGATTTAAGTAAGATCAATGGCTCAGATTTAACCGCACAACCACACGGGAACTACATTTTATATATATATATATATATATATATATATATATATATATATATATATATATATATATATATATATATATATATGTGTGTGTGTGTGTGTGTGTGTGTGTGTGTGTGTGTGTGTGTGTGTGTGTGTGTGTGCACATTTAAAGAGCATTTGATCTTGAATAAATCATTAATTACTAATTTTAGTTGAATATTATGATCATATATGATTTATGTTAAGATCATGTATTTAGTTAAGTCTTTTCAATAATTATTTCATATTTTGTGCCTTACAATGCATATTTTTTTGCCTTCCAGTGCATATTGTTATGCCTTCCAGAACACATTGTTGTGCTTTATGGTGCATATATATAGAAGAGGGTTCCAATGAGAACACTTGCTTAGGTGAGATCCTGAGAACAAATCGTGTGCATCCATCTAATATTATTTAATGGTTATGATTGACTAACAAATATAGTTTGAAATGCATTTAAAGAAGGATAACGGGTAAATTAGTAATGTAGTCAAGATTCTTTATATGGTTAAAATTGTAATAAATATTACATCCATATTTGTAGGGATTGGAGTAAAAGTAATAATTGTAATAATTTATTTATAATTAACCACCCTAATCTATAGTTTTACGGTATTTTTTTGTGGATTTTTTTTTTATTTTTTTTTTTGGTGCACCCCTAAATCTAAGTAATTAGGGGACATAGTTTGTGCATGCGATTTTAGATCGCATTATCTATGCACATGCCAGTCTTGTAATGATTATTTAACAGCGTGTGCATCGTGTGCACCTTGAAGGATTGCACACGCGTGGTGATGTATGTTATGACATTTTATGGGTTCGGCTAGACTACTGGCTTAAGACGGTGTGTGCATATTGACTCCATTGTGTATGCACACGACTGATTTATTGTTATTTAGTAGCTTGTTCAATGTGTACAGCAAAGGAGTGCACACACGTGGTGCTGTGTGCCTTATGATATTTTATGCCTTTCGACTAGAGTACTTGCTTCGGATGTTGTGTGCGTAGTGACTCCATTACGTATGCACACGCCAACCATATAATTGTTATTTAATAACGTGCAGGGCCGGCCCTGGGCATGTTTTCCCAGGGCCGGCGCACAGGGCCCCCAAAAATTGGGGGCCCCATATTAAAAAAAAAATTATGTTAGTATATATACGGCGCCTTTGTAGTGTTGTTATTTAGGCATTTAGCGCATCTAACATTCTAACCTAGCCTTTCCAAAAAGAAACAAATACATTCTAACCTAGCCTCTTACGTACTAGCGACAGACATAGAGTCATAATGACGACAGACTCGGCATTCGAGGAGAGGGGACAAGCGGTGAAGCGGACAACAAATTGCCTAGGTAATTAATTGTCTAATACTTTAATTGAATTAAGTTGTTAGTTGTGCGTGTAATCCTTAAATATTTAATTTCATTATTCATTAATTTGCCTCTGCTAGTCTGATGTAGTGTTCTTCGCCCCTTTGTAAGATTAGCCGATTAGGCAAATCCCAATTTTATAATTATTAATTTGTAAAATTCTGAATTGTATAATTATTAATTTGTATTATTTGCAAAGACAGACAACAAATTCAACTAATTTGCATGGAATTTAGTGAATTGACGCAAATACGACAAAGTCAGTTCGTGCGATACGGTCTTCAATTCTCTTAACAGGTAATTAAAATTAAAATTACATATTATTTTACAATTTTTATTTATTATTTTATTTACGTAACTTAATAATTCTGATTTCAGAATAATATATTCAAGAATTTGTTTCTTGATTAATTATTTATTCATAGAGTTTCTAAATAAATTCTTATTTTTTTTCTTAGGACTTTATAATTATGTCTTCTAGAAAATATTCATCTGGATTTGAGAAGCGTAAAAAGAAAAGAAGAATTGAGCTATTACTATATGTAATTTTTGAAATATTCATCTGGGTTTGAGAAGAACTGACTTTTTAAATGAAATTTTAGATGTAATTTTTTATACAATATTATATTTTGAATTTTTAACACAAATTTTTGAACAACTATTATTTATATATAAAAAATTACTTAAAAGGGGGCCCAAATTTAAATATTGCACAGGACCCTAATTTGTAATGGAACGGCCCTGATAACGTGTACACATCATTGTAGTGGTGTATGCATTTATTTGTTGCATGTTTCGTGTCTCCAATTAGTTGTCGTGAAAGCGACTAAAATCATCCAAGGAACTCACCTCTCAACAAAGTTCAAAGGCAAAGTGCATGTGCCAAACGTACAAACCAAATGGTTTATCATGATAGCATGAAAATAAATAAAATAAACACAGAATAGGAATGTTATTGCATTTAATGAGTACTATGATATATGTGAATCACGTGTCCATGTGTGTACACATGAGTATGCAATACGGAGTGTGCGAGTACATTCTTAACCATGTGTGCAAACATGGTGAAAACTGTGCAAGCTCAATTAGGGAGGAATATGTGCATATATCCACTACTTGATGCGCAAAACATATAGCAAAAATTTTAATATCCTAAAAAAGACAATAAAAGGAACAGTCTGACCCTACTTGAAGGAACGATGACATGGTTATCCTGCATAGCAACAGCATAATCACTTGCAGACTTCATGTTTCGAGCTTGATGCACGTTGATGGCACTCATCAAGATCTCCCTCATGTACACTCCTTCACATCCCTTATACGAAGACCACAATCCCAAAATCGTAATCAGGAGCTTGTCATTATGGCTCAACCTGATTTGCGGTTAGGCCCGACTAGGCTGAGGAGATCGCGACTTCTTGCATGCACGAACTGCAGGAAAACACATCAGGCCAACGAATACACGTATGCACATTCTGAAGTAAACAGATGCAAACACTAGTCGTCAACAGCTTCATACACTATTAGCATAAGAGATACGCACAAACCCCAAATGATAAATGCACTCAATGAAATATCAAACACTAAAGCAGCCACCGTCAAACACTAAACACCAACGAAATCCACTAATTTGCACACACTTAAACAAACAGTCCAAAAGTGAGGATTCTTAACTACACTAATGAATCCTCAGCAGAACATATATTTGAACACTAACCAAATGAAAAATTAGGAGTTGCGCTTAGTTTCAAACCCTACCAAAAAAAAAAAAAAAAAAAAACCTCTTTCATTACGTGCACATGGAGTCTTACACTTAGAATGTCTGAGACCGGAATCCTCCATAGCGAAATAGTGCGTGAATGCCAAGCGTGACTGAAGGGAACATAGAGAAACCCTAGGAGCCGCGGACCACTTAATCAGACCACAAAACCGTCGTCGACCACCTGGTGTGAAAAGCCCTAGCCGCCGCCGACCACCCTGTGCAACCAATAAACAAGACGTGTGTGATCGGACGGGGGAGACGTCGACGGAAACAAGTTGCGCCAAAAACTGCTGCGAACAAGAAAGAGAGAAAACGCCTGACTTGGGAAAGAGAGTGATATAACGTATAGGGAAAGAAAATATTAAAGGAACCATTTAAAATGGATAATAACACAGCATTACCAATAATAAGATATACAAAAACAATACAAATTACACATACATCCCTCTAAGCTTAAAATCTAGTGCAAATATTGTAATTAATCAAAGCCATTGAAATCAAATCTTGGATGGACAAGATTTTGTTGGGAAAAGGGCTTGTAATCTGTAATACATTTGAGATACAACAATTATACAGAATACAACAGGGAACAAAAACTGGATCATTTGATATCTTCAGGCGTGTAATCACTTTCCTATAAGCTTTAAATCTCCCTCTATAAAAGCAACAAGGTTCAAGATTTAATCTTATGGGATACAAGAAGATGAATGAAATTCTCAAGTTGCTCTGTTTGAGAGTTTCCTGTAGAATTGTAAGCCTGTGAAATATCTTGGTTTCCTGCAAGTTGATTGCATGTTTCTTTTCAGACATTTCTCCACATATTTATAGATGTAAATATAGCACTTTGGAGAAGTTACATGGAAGTTAATTATTTAAATTTAAAACTTAACTTCCATAAGATATATCTTATCTGATATATCAAGCATGTTAAGTGTAACTTTGAAGCATATAGCTTCAAAATGCATAAATAGAAGAGCATATTCCAAGCACGTTAAGTGTAGTTTTGAAGCATATAGCTTCAAAATGCCCCAAAACCTTACGCATGAAAATATCCAAACATGCATTAATACTCTTAAGCATATTAGCTATAACTCTCAAGCATATTAGCTATATATCACAAGCATATAGCTATATACTCTCAAGCATATTAACTATATACATTTCTCCCAGTATTTTAATTAACTTTCTACCAAACTAAAATAATATTTACAACTCCACAACTCCAAATATTATTTAAGCTTTCATGGTAGTTCATCTGAAACATTAATCTCCATTACTATATAAATTTTCAACAGATTTGATCTCACACTCTCACCTAATGAAGTGTTCTCATATGATCCTCTCTCTCTCTCTCTCTCTCTCTCTCTCTCTCTCTCTCTCTCTCTCTCTCTCTCTCTCTCTCTCTCTCTCTCTCTATATATATATATATATATATATATATATATATATATATATATATATATATATATATATATATATATATATATATATTGAGCTGATAGCCAATTCAAATATCTTCTTATATGGGGGTTTAATTGATATTAAAAATATAAATTTGAATAAAAATTACGTAAATATAAACACTATAATAATCGACGACTATTAAGGGAAAATTAGACTTTTATTTTAAAATAGAAATGCAATAAACTACTTAAAGTAGTTTTTTTTCATTTTCAGCTTATTGACATAATAAGCTCTGTTACAATGCAGTATATGTTCATTAAAGAGTCAATATCGCCTCCATTGAGGCTCAAACCCACAACCTTCCACATGAAAGAGTATCTTGGTGCCATTAGACCACAAGGTCATTGGCAAAATTACATAAATTAAACACTATAATAATCGACGACTATTAAAGACAAATTAGACTTTTATTTTAAAACAAAAATGTAATAAATTGATATCAATAAGTGAATAAACTACCTAAATTAATTTTTTTTTTTTAAACTTATTGACATCAATAGCCTAAGTCAATATGTTGTTTACCGCACTCATTTTAACTGATGAAGCAAATCAAACAACTAAAATTGATCAAAGAAATCAAACTTCTCAATTTCCAATAAAGTCTATATGAATTAAACCTCCCCTTAGAGTAAGGCTTTAGTGAGAAAAATTTATAAGTAAAAATTGCCAATCAGTTGTATCGAAATATCCCATCCAACTTTGAGCATACCAAAAAAGATCAAATAAGACAAATTTTCCATTCATCCATGCATCCAACAACCACGGTTTTGTGGACTAAATTGTCCTCCTCCGTGACAAGACAAGACAAGCAACAAGGGCAAAAGTCAAAAACCATTTTAGATTCGAATTGAAAAAAGAAAGAAAAGAAGAAGAAAAAAAAATAGCATCTTTATCCTCGTGACCAGTTAAGTAGTTAACCATATGCTGACAAAGTGGATATGCCCACAATGAAATGCGTGCTATATATGATTGAGATGATATTTGAAAATAAGAAAATATTGTCAGTGCAGCAAAACATATACATCGAGAATTTCTATAATTTTTTAGAAAATTGAAGAATTAGATAATAGAAAATATACCAAGACTATGTGGTCTAATGGTACTCGGGTTGGACTTTTATTTGAAAGATTATGAGTTCGAGTCTCAGTGGAACCATTATTGGTTCTTTGTGTTTCAGTAGGTTGAGAAAGAACAAAGATAATAGAAAACATAAAACATATTTTTCATTTTAAAAATTGAAAATAATTTTTCAGTTTTAATTTCTAAAAAAATTAAAAAACTTCTAAAAATTATTTTCTAAATAAAAAACTGAATCATCTATCATCTATTTGGCTATATGTCACTATAACCACATTCTCATCATTATTTACTTACATATTTATTCATTAATATTATTACATTCATTATCATATTCTTTATTTGTATCTTTTCTACTTGCATTAATTATTTAAACATAACTTATTTGCTTACGCTTAAATTTAAACATTATTCACATTATCAAAATTAAAAATTGAACTCTATACCAAGTTTTAGATTTTGATTGAACTCAATAGATTATTGGTTCAGATATTTTTAGTTATGTTATATCGTAATACAAGTTTGGTCAGGATATCAGATATTGAAATTTCACATATATTAGAATTCAAAGTAAAAACTATATATAATTATAGAGTTAATTTCATTTTTGGTCCTAGATTTATAGGTGGCAATCCACTTTTAGTCATTTTTTTCAAAATATTCACTTTTGGTCCTGGTATTATTGTGGCATGACCATTTTTTGTCCTCTATCAACAAAACAGTTTAAATTTCGTTAAATACAAGGGCATTTTGGTCTTCAATTATGAATTTTTTCAAAAATATAAATATTAAAAAAATAGCGGGTCAACCTACTTTTTATAAAAAAAGATCGAAATGTCCTTGTATTTAACTGCATTTCAATAATTTTTTTTTTTTTTTACGGAGGACCAAAAATGGTTATGTCAATATAATACTATGACCAAATGAGGATGTTCTGATAAAAAATGACTAAAAATGGACTGACACTTATAAATCTAAGACCAAAAATAGAATTAAATTTATATTTATTCAAATGAAAATACACTACTACAATTATAGGCTTTTGCACACACTACTACAATTATAGGCTTTTGCACAATTTTTTTTTTTTACTTTTTACATCGGTTATTAAAATGATGTAAGTAAAATATAAAATTATACCGACGTCTAAAGTACTATAAGTTTTTTTTTTTTTGAATGCTACTAGCTCTATTACATTGTAGTATCTGTTCATATACTTTCTTAACCCACTGAAACACAAAGAGCTAATAACACCTCCATTAAGGCTCGAACTCACAACTTTCCAAATGGAAGTCCAACCCGAGTACCATTGGACCACATAGTCCTGGTCTAAAGTACTATAAGTTAACAGTATAAGTTATTGAAATCTTTATTTTCTTATAAGTTATTAGACAAACAAAGTAAGAAAAGAATCATGATGTATATACTATGACTAAATAATTTATAATTGAAATATGTACTTTATAAAATTATTACCTCAAAAAAATTAAAAGAATCATGTATATTTAATGGCCAAATAATTTATAATCAAAATCTATTTTGTATACATTATTGCTGTAAACAAAAACAAAAACAAAAAAAAACAAAAACAAAAACAAAAAGTGTTCATTTATATTTTAAACATGAATAATGTATAATTGAAATTTGTTTTCATATAAATTATTACTGTAAGGGAAAATTGTAATTTATACCCATTTATAATATGTTAGTTATTCATCATGGCATTCCTGAATTATTAGTGATGTAGATGTTGCCCTTCAATTTTTAAAACGGTACATATATAATCCCTCCCGTATTGTACAGGAAAGGCAATATATGTACCGTTTTGAAAGAGGGGCAACATTTACATTTAGTAGGAAAAAAATTATGTATCATTTTAAAAATTAAGGGGAACATTTACACTATTAATAATTCAGAAGTGACATTGATAATTAACATATTATGAAAAGACATAAATTATAATTTTCCGTTACTGTAATTGGAATGTCAAGAGCCCACTAGGAATCCGTCAAATTAAAAGAACAATTTGACTGGTTTTTGACGAGTCATGGAAAGGATCTCAAGAACCCGTAAGGTGAAGCAGAATGCTTCAAAAATAATTAACAAGGGCTATTCACGGACTGTTGCATATCCCGTTGGTGCCTTATGCTTTGATTCGACGATAATATCTTTACATTTAAAACCCATTAGTCAGAAATTATAGTGTAGGATTATTTGTGATCAAAAATAAAAATCAATATGTATGTTTTGATCAAATTGAAAGTTGAAGACTAAAATGAGTACTACTTCAATAGTCAAAGGGCCATTTGTGATATTAACACTTATCAAAATTATCTCTGATCTTAACTTGAATCAAATAAAGTAATATAACATTACCATATTCACATTATCTAAATAATAATAAATGACGTGAATCAAACACCCTACTACTTTTAAGAGTGTGTTTGAAAACGTGAAAAATGATTTTCAAAAGTCATTTTTTGAATCTTTTTGTGTTTGGGTATTTAAGAAAATGAATAAGGTTCAAATTGATCATTGAATGTAATTTGAAAATGCAATTAGGTCACTGAACGAAAAAAATGCAATTAGACCACTGAACACTCTAAAAACGTGCAATTAGGCCATTGAACACTCCAAATATATGTAATTTCACCGAATAGCAGGTTACCATCAATTTTAGCAGGTTACTTGCTTATGTGACAGTTAAGTTGGCATTTTAAAAAAATTTTAATAAGTTTTAATAACAAAATTTTTAAAAAATAAAAAAAACAAACAAATAAAATAAA